TAAACTCACACAACTAGTAAATGGTGAAGGCAGAATTCACAGAGCTCTGTCTGACTCCAAAGCTGTTCTCAGAATCTCAGCGCTTAACTGTTGCTTCTGGAAAAGCATTGTCTTCTTGTCCTAGTCTGCCTTTGACAGCTGGGTGTAGGAGCCTCTGCCGCATAGGGATGCCAGCCAGTCATATCCCCTGTACTTGAGGTAGGGCCCTAAGTCACTTTGACAGGGTCCAGCAAACCCATTTTCATACCGGTTCCCTCCCTTCCAGCACTTCCCTTCAAGGGTCTGGGTCAAGTTGTACAAATCCCTCTTCTGCACCACTCTTCATTCTCTCTAGGCACAGGAAACTTGGGTCTTCCATGCAGAAGGGTTGGACGAAAGGCAAGGTGTCAGTGATGTGGTATTTCTCATGACCCCCCATGGGGTGACCCCTGGTGGTGACCCCTCATGGAAGAGAACCACAGCAACTTGAAGTGAACCACTTTGGAAACTGCACTTTCTCTAAGTATTGGCTGGGAAAGATCGTTAAATAACTAGCAGAGATATTTGACAATATTACCCTGATTTTTCTAAAGCTCATCTTCTTTCCCAAATGTATAAAAGTTTACAACTCTAGCTGTGCACATTCATACCACCTACACACACACACACACACACACACCCCCATACATACACACACTAACAGGCTTCTCTCTTCTTTATAGGTCTTTGGATTCTGCAGAGCAGATTTGTCCTATGATGTAGGAGTCTCTGACTTGGAAACCCCAGAAGACATTGCCATAAACTGTGAAGTCTTCAATTTTGAGGTGGGTTGCTTAAGTAGTCTTTGTTATGAGCAGTGCCAGACTAAGAGATATTTTCATACACATAGTGTATTTTGTTCTTATAGCTCTGGGGGTGGTGGGGAGATAGAGAGGCAGAGAGATGAGAGGAGGCTGAAAAGAAATACAGAGAGAAGAGGCCCCTGGGGAACGAACGGGGTGCAATTGCTGATATGATACAAAAAGTATAAAAAATTTCCAAGTGGGGAGACGTAAGATTTGTAAAGTAAAATCAACTGATTCAATCAACCTTTAATGAATTTGAAAATGGTCCTTGTAGCCAAGGCTCCAGTCCTGAGACTCAATTCCTAACTTTTATTATTAAGCATAGAACCTAAGGGGAATGAATTAACCTCAAACACATTATATAAAGGTACATAAAATAAGGCACAAAGCAATATTTCACATCTGTCCCAGAAAGCTTTGTTCTGTACCAAGATATTCATCACAGTATTTTTCATGTCAGCAAAAACTGAAAATAATCCAAATGTCTATGTGCCAAACCATAAAACAAAGACGGGGAGGGGCAAGGCAGGTTTATCACCATGAACATGGCTCCACAGATTTTTTTTTTTTAATTAAAATCTGAACAAGAAGGAGAGTGAAGAGATGAAGTGCTCATCCTTTAGGAGTAAGAGATGATTATACCATAAAGCCTCAGAACTCTGTTGAAGATATAAATTATAAGGCACTAGTTTTCCAAATGTTGGTCTACAGATAAGTACCATTCTACAATTTAATTTCACCATTTTATGTTGAAATGAGAAAAGTAGGGATAAGTAAAGTTTTTCATAATACAACATTTATTGCATCTAAAGAACCACGCTTTACTCTGAGATATCTTTCTGACTCTTGTATTATCAAAATAGTGTTCCGATTGTGAAATAATGATGGTGGCAGATGATAGTTTTTGTATTTAATTTTATTTTTTAAGATTTATTTATTTAAAGAGAGAGCACACGCAAGCAGGGCAAGTGCAGAAGGAGAGGAAGAGAGAGAATACTAAACAGATGCCCTGCTGAGTGTGGAGACTGATGCAGGGCTTAATCTCACAACCCTGAGATCATGACATGAGCCGAAACAATGACCAGACGCTTAACTGACTGAGCCACCCAGGCGCCCCACTGTTTGCATTTTAAATGTCAATTTGGCTGGGTAAAAGTTTGAGAGCCCTTTTTTGCTATCCTATTTTTAAAATTGATTTGCAGAATCCAAAAGTCTGGAAGCCATTGGTCTAAATTGAGTTGCACATCTAACTTCTTTTGTGTTATATAATAATACTCACTTTTCTGTATCCTTTACCAGGAATGTAGAAACATCAGTGGTGTACCACACCATTTTGGCCATCCCCACCGCTCTGGTAGGCATGGGCATTCTCTTGCTGGCAAGCCTCCATTTAAGCCTGATGAATTTAGAGATCACCATCATCCCCACAAACCACATAAATTTGAATGCCCACCTCTTCTAGAAGACAGACCACCATTTCAGGCAGGAGCTCCTCCTGTATTGCCCCCTCCAGGGTCAAGATGTCATCACCCCCATTTTGGCACCAGTGGGACCCATGGATACCCTCATAATCATAGTTCCAGTGAGCACCACCCCTATAGACCCCCTCATCATGGATCCCCTCGTCATGGACCCCCTCCTCAAGAACCCCCTCCTCACGGGCCCCCTTCTCACGGGCCCCCTCCTCATGGACCCCCTCCTCATGGGCATCATCACCATGGCCACCATCCCCATGGCCACCATCCCCATGGCCACCATCCCCATAGGCATCATCCCCATGGACACCATCCCCACGGACACCATCCCCATGGCCACAATTTCCTTGACCATGGGCCTTGTGACTCACCACCCCATAGCCAGGGTCGCCGGGGACATGGCCCACCATCTAGGCACTCAAAAGTAAGAGGTCCAGGTAAAAGACCCTTTCCCTTCCACCGGAGACAAATCGGATATGTTTACCAGCTCCCTCCACTAAAGGAAGGTGAAGTTCTTCCTTTTCCCGAAGCCAATTTTCCCAGCTTCTCATTGCCAGGCGACAACAATCCTCTAAAGCCAGAAATTCAGCCCTTCCCTCAATCAGTTTCTGAATCATGCCCAGGGACATTTAAGAGTGAGTTTTCACATGTCTTGAAGTTTTTTGCATACTTGCTTCCAAAATAAAATCTGATTTCCTCGATGGGGTAAAATTAATATTCTGACTTAAACCATAAATAAAATATGACCAATAATGAATACAAAATTCATGTATTTTTATCTTACTTTCATATTCAGGGTAGGGCAAATGTGGGTGGGGGAGAAGATGGCATGAGAAGAGAGAGACAAATGGAAAGGAGAGGAAAGATGTCAGTGCTACAAGTCAGTCACTGACCACTAAATCCTTGCAGCAAATCTCTGATCCTCTTTCTTTCCTGGACTTAACTCCTTTAATTCTAGTGTCTTTCCTCACTGAGTACTTACGCTGTAGTTGGGCATACCAAGAAGGTATGTTTTATCAGTCAAGGGATTATTCTTCAAATCTAAAATTCAAATTCCCCCCTACTTGTTATTTCTAGTCCTCTAAATTTCCCTTTGGAAAGAAATAAGTTCTAAATTCAATTATGATGCAATCAAGGCTTGGGCAATGAATTGCAAAGAACGTTGCAGGTACAAATCATGACCATAAATTCAGGTGCACAAGAAATATCACTTTATTTTCAGAACAAATTAATTTCCATTTCAGGCTGCCATCCTAGTCGGTTAATAGAGAAGACTTAACCTCCGTCCTTCTTTGAGTTCCTTCACCCTGCTACTCCCCACACAAAGTTGTGCCACAGTTATAGAATTTCATGTGGTGCCAAGGTGTTTGGGTGGTGGGTATGAGAAGGAGGTCTGAGTCTTCATCTTTGGTCCACTAGGTTCCCTCCTGCTGAGGGATACTTACTACCCTGTACACCTCCCTCTTTGGGTTTAGTTTATCAGCTACCTCTGTATCAACCTGAAGGTATAAGAGTCTCTGCAAGACTGCTAGTGAACATATCTGCCCTGGACTATTCTCCCTGAGATCTTGCTGCCTTCCAGGCTACATGCCCAGAAAGCAGGGCAGAGGTGTTCTCTGCTTCAGGACACCCAGAGACATCGTTCTTCTCATATCTTGCCCCCCAGGCCAGGGGTGCTCTAGTCTCAAGTAACTTCTCTTTATTCAGTTTTGGTCCAAGAGGACTCTTTCTCCACAATCAAATACTCTTTCTTTTCCCTTCTTCCCAAGTCAGGGCTCAAGCATTTAGACGTAGGCTAATAAAGCTTTGGGCTTGCTACCTGACTTACTGGAAGCAGTTGCAGGTACATAGTGATGGCAGAAGGTAGATTCGTGTGCATGTGTGTGTGTGTGTGTGTGTGTGTCTGAGCCGGGGGCGGGGGGGAGGTTATAGGGGAAAGAAAAAAAAACTAAGGCTAAAAGAGATGTGGGTAAGTTGGTTGTTAGGCTGGGAAAAAGGAGGGGCCCACAAAGAAGCAGAAGGTGAAACTGGAAGAGAGAGGAGATGTCTAACAGCGCACAGTGCAGGAGGAGTTGGAATCAGATCTTGGGGTTTATCAGAAAGGTTCCTTAGGTTTGGTGAGTAGACACCCAAATCCACCACACCAGAAACAAGATGCAAGGATGGGGGACACAGGACTTCACTCAATACATCTCTTCTTATGCTTGTCTCCTGTCTCCTCCACCCTGGGGAGCATTTTCCTTTCTAGAACCAATACAATTGAGTGGAGAGAGGCTGACTTGACCAGAGACCAGAGAGGATGCCCATATTTTACTTTTAGTTGCACCAGCGTCCTGGTGTGGGACTCCCGGCATGCACTATGTCCCTATGCATGGGCTCCCCAGGCGTGCAACGTGATTGGTAGCAGCCTGCTTTTCTGCAGCTAGGTATCTTGCAAAGAAATGATTAAAAGGTATCTGTACATTGTACTCATTGTCACATTGTTGTCCCATGTAGTGACCTTCAGAAAGGGCTTTGGGAAAGTCATTTGGGAAAGGGAATAACAGGTGATTGGTGTTTTTTTCCTCCTTTAATAGTTTCTGTTCTGATTTGTTATACAACATTGTGCAATCACCTGGAAATGTGCTCTGTGCTCCCACGTGCTTCCTGAATGCAAACAAGCAGGTTAACAACCCCAGTGTTGTAATGTTTCAGCCTGAAATCTGCTTGGATAACCCAACAGAGCCATTTGTCCTTTGGAAATAGGGTGAATTGCGTATGGCGGGCAGGAATCCACCAGATTTGGGAGCGCTGAGGCAGAGACACGCACATACAGAAATAAAAGGCTGGGAATAGCTAAAATCGGCATCCAAGTTGGCGCCCGATTCTTGGTGAAACCATCCCTCGGCTTCTGGAGGGAGACTGCTAAATCATGAAATTACTTGCCTTGCTTTTTGTCTGCTCCAGGCTACTACCAAGTTTAACCCAGGAGTCCTCACAAGAAATCGACTGTGATGACGAGGACTTATTTAAGGCAGTGGACACTGCGCTGAAGAAATATAATAGTAGAAACCAAAGCGGCAACCAGTTTGTGTTGTACCGTGTAACTGAGGTCGTCAGGACGGTGAGTGAGCTGTGTCTTACCTTGAGGCCATTTGAGATGTGTGCTGTCACTCGGAGCCCAGCCCCTCCCCCACCACACACACACACACACACCCCAACACCACCACCACCACCACCACCACCACCACCAACAACAACAACACCAACAATCACCAAAGAACCAAGAAGCAAAGGTAGAAGCTTACAGCTCTGAGAAAAGATCAACACCACTCTTTGGCCCCGGGGGTGCAGGGCAGGGTATGACTAGCCCTCAGGCGGCCAAGCTTGGCTTCCTGGGTGATCAGGAAGGCAGGGTGTAATGAGACAAAGGTAGATGGAATCATTTGAAAGAAACTATTCAGAGTGGGAGAATCCAGGAACTCAGTGGGACCGCAACAAAAGGACTTACTGGGTGACCAGCCTAAGGACTGGTCACCCATTAGAAAATATGAAGACCTCCAGACCACAGGTGGGGCAGGAATGCTTATGTCTAACAAATACTGCGTGATCTCACTTATATGTGGAATCTAAAAAAATGTCTAACTCACCGAAGCAGAAAGTAGAATGGTGGTTGCCAGGGGCTCAGGCTGGGGGAAACGGAGGGTGCTGGTCACAGGGTACAAACTTCTCAGTTATAAGACGAGCAGGTCCTCGGGATCTAAGATGCAGCATGGTGACTATAGTTAATAATACTGTAGTGTATACTTGAAATTTGCTATGAGACTAGATTTTAAGTGTTCTCACCACACATACACACCCACAGAAGGTAACTATATTGGGCGATGGATGTGTTAATCAGCTTGTTTGTGACAGTCACTTCACAATGTATGTGTATATATGTATATATATCTCATCACATTGCAAACTTTTGACATACGCAATTTTCATTTGTCAATTATACCTCAAGAAAGCTAGGGGGAAGGGAGAGTTACATCTAAGAGGAGGCAGAAATGAGATTAGCATGCATTAGACAAAATGTCGATCAGTCCGTATGGCTGAATGCATCAAGGGTAACAGTGACGTTCTAGATGGTTTTTAATATTTCTTATAACTAACTGATGCACACAGGTTGGAGACAAATCCTGACAGTATGTGTGATTTCAAAAAATACTAGTCTTTTGATAGTTTGTTTAAATGAATTTCACTATAAAACTCTGTGCCTATCATAGTAAAGTAACTGTTTACTTTGGCAGAGGAGAAAAGTCCGGTCATTTGACATGATTAGGATAAAGAAAAAAGCCCACGGGACATGATTTTTTTTTTCCTAAAAGTAAAATTGAGCCATTCTGTTTCACAAACTAGTGTAATGATGTAGACATTTGGTCCTGGTCCTCTCAAGCAACAGTTGATTGGTGTTCTCTTCGTTGGGTGACATCCATGACAAATGTGCTTTTTTGTTCTAAAATGTCCATGGAATCATGCTTTACTTTGCCATATGGGCACCATCTATACCACTACTGCCTACTTCTTTATCAAAATCTGAGACCTGGAAGGAACTTGGGAGACCATGTTGTTTGACTCAATCATCCCAGATGCAAATAAAGTGATGCAAGCAGGCTCTGAGAGTCAGGAGACTTGGGATCTGGGGCCGGTTCTGCCTTTTCAAGGTGCGCGGGCTGCCTCAGCCCTGCCCGTCTACTTGGGGCTTCCTTTCTTTCACCTGCAAAGTGATGGGCTGGACAACATCACCTCTCTGGTCCCTTGCTGTTTGAATGCCAGGATTTCCCATTTAGAAAGCTCACCTAACTCAACACCTTTGCACTTTCTTTTTTTTTAATTGAAGTGTAGTTGACACACAGAGTTACACTAGTTTCAGGTGTACAACATAATGGTTTGACAACTCTATATGCTATACGATGCTCACTACAAGCGTAACTCCCCTCTGTCACCATACAACGTTATGACGGTATCATTGCCTATATTCCCTAGGCTGTGTCTTTCAGCCCCGTGACTTACTCATTCCATACCTGGAAGCCTGTGACTCCCTCTCCCCTTCACCCATTTTACCCATCCCCACCCTCCTCTGCCCTGGCAACCGTCAGTTTGTTCTCTGTATTTAGGGGTCTGTTTCTGCTTTTGGTTTGTCCATTTGTCTCATTTTTTAGATTCCACATATAAGTGAAATGATATGGTATTTGTCTTTCCTGTCTGATTTATTTTACTTAGCGTAATATGCTGTAGGTCCATCCATGTTGTCATAAATGGCAAGATCTCATTCTTTTGTATGGCTGTGTAATATTCCATTATATAGATATGTATACATCAAGGCGTACATATATATACACACACACATATTCTTTATCCATTCATCTATTGATGGACATTGGAGTTGCTTCTATATCTTGGCTACTGTAAATAATGCTGCAGTAAACATATGGATGCATATATCTTTTCACATTAGTGTTTTTGTTTTCTTTGGGTAAATACACAGTAGTGGATTGCTGGATCATATGGTATTTCTATTTTTAATTCTTTTTAAGGAAGCTTCATACTGTTTTCCATAATGGCTGCACCAGTTTACATTCCCACTGACAGTGCAAGAGGGTTCCTTTTTCTCCATGTCCTCACCAACACTTGTTATTTCTTGTCTTTTGATTCTAGTCATTCTGACAGATGTAAGGTGATATATCATTGTGGTTTTGAATTGCATTTCCCTGATGATTAGTGATGTTGAGCATCTTTTCATGTGTCTGTTGGCCATCTATAGGTCTTCTTTGGAAAAATGTCTATTCAGGTCCTCTGCCCATTTTTTAATTGGATTATTTGTTTTATTTGGTGTTGAGTTGTATAAGTTCTTCATATATTTTGGATGCTAACCCTTTATCAGATATATCATTTGCAAACACCTTCTCCAATTCAGTAGGTTGCCTTTTCATTTTGTTGATGGTTTTCTTTGCTGTGCAAGAGCTTTTTATTTTGGTGTAGTCTTAATCATTTATTTTTGCTTTTGTTCCCCTTGCCTGGGAAGACACATCTAGAAAGATGTTGCCAAGGCCAATGTCAGAGAAATTACTGCCTGTGCTTTCTTCTAGGAGTTTTATATTTTCAGGTCTCACAGTTAGGTATTTAAAGTGCCTTGCACTTTAAAAGTTTTATTTATTATCTCATGTCATGCTAGAAAAAATAAGGCAAATAAAAATACTGAAATTACCAAAAATTAATCCACCATCCAGAGATAACATTTTTTTGAAAATGAGAAGTGTTTCCTCACTGTAAAATAAATATGTTTATTTTTTAAAAAGACAACTCACAAACATTTGTTTAAAGAAGTGAGCAGCTGTACTCCCACTACCGAAAGACAAACATTTTAATAGCTTTGCTTCATAACTTTCCAGACTTTTAAGAATCATATATGTACCTATAAATTGGTTTTTACAAAAATGGGCTAATACTATAGATACCACTTTGTAACTTACAAATATGTATTTATAAATATATTATGAACACTCTTCCAAGTAACTCTTTATAACTTTCAGTATTTTAATTTTTTAAAAAAGATTTTATTTATTTATTTGAGAGAGAGAGAGAGCACAAGTAGGGGGAGGAGCAGAGGGAGAGGGAGAAGCAGACTCCCTGCTGAGCAGGGAGCCCAACACGGAGGTCGATCCCAGGGCCCTGGGATCATGACCTGAGCTGAAGGCAGCCGCTTAACCAACTGAGGCACCCAGGCGCCCCAACTTTAAGTATTTTTAAGAAATGTTTCGGTCTCACTGAATTAAATCAAGATCAAATACTCACATCTGCATTAGATCTCACTCAAATTATTTGCTCTTGGGTCAGTTATATGTCTCTGGTTGTTTTTTTCAGGATGACCCTGACACGTTTTATTCCTTCAAGTACCAAATCAGGGAAGGAAATTGTTCTGTTCAAAGTGGCAAAACCTGGCAGGATTGTGACTACAAAGAATCTGCACAAGCTGTAAGTGGGTTGGTGGTTCCTGAGCCCCCAGTGTTCTCTGTCGAGACTGTCAGATTCTGTCACCAGAGCTGGAGATGGTTAGTATTGTTAGGCCTCTTTGTAAGGGATGCGCATAAACCCTCAAATGCCTAGAAAAGCCAAGGCTCGGCGTCCGTGTTCTCGTTCTCTATGTCAGAACACGAAGAGGCCAGCAGTGAGACATAGAGAAAGCCCTCTCAAGAGACGGGGACTCTAATGACCAATTAGGGCAGGGGACCGGGTCCCAAAGAGACAACAGATCAACATCTGGGCCAAGATCGAGGGCTGCTGAGGAGACAGCATGGATGCTTTCATTGCATAGGCTCTGCTTCCCACCAGCTGACACCCCAGAACCTCCCTCCGTGTTGCCTCTTCAAGGGGAGATAACATTGACCTCATCGGGTTGTTGGAGGATGAAATGAGACACGTATACAAACAACCTTCTTTTGCTGGCAATGCCTACCTCAACCAAATGCCTAGCAAGTGCCTGGCCCAGCAAAGCTGGTTGTTTGCCTTAATGAGGGGCGAGTGCGGGGGGCGTCTGGCCCGATGGAAGCCGCTCTTTCCCCAGTCCCGGGATCCACGCCTGCGTGTCACAACACTGGCCTCGGGCCCGCGCTTTCAACACCGAAATGGAAAGGAAAATCAAGAGGAGAGCCTGGCAGGCTCGCTCTAAGGCACTGCATCCATTTTGGTGAAAAGGAAACTTGTTTTAAAACCTCGCCTTTTTTACTGCCCCTCCCCCAACGTCTCGTGAAATCAGTGCCTTGCCAAAATAATCATGAGGCTACAAAAACTTTCATTCTTGCGTCTCAAAACTGTTTAAAAAAAGAAAAAAAAAAAAAGAAAAAAAAGGAAAAGCTATATTGAGCCATAGTACTAGGTGGACTTCTCCATCTGAAAGGTGAAGATAAATGGTCTCTCTCTCCTTTTTTTTTTTTTTTTTTCTTTTTTCTTTCTAGGCCACAGGAGAATGCTCCGCCACGGTGGGGAAGAGAGGGAATATGAAATTCTCCGTGGCTACGCAGACCTGCCAGATCACTCCAGGTAGCCCTGGGGGACAAGGAACCTGTTCTCTGTGGTGTCAGGAGCACAGCCTAGAGGAGGGCCCCGTCCCCAGGTGGCACCAGCAATGCCTTGGGGGTGGGGTGGGGGAGCGGCAGAGTCCTAGATCAGGGCCGAGCTCAGGCCAATCATCCCCTCCGCGCTATCCCGACTCTCCTCCTGACTGTGGCATTGTATCGGGCATGTGCAGACGCCCTGAGAAGGGACCAGAAGACAGATAACTGCCTTCAACTGTAGGCCAAGAGGGAGGGAGAAAAGCACAGGCTTTGAGGTCGGACTTGGCCTGGAATCTTTCCAAATTCCTCATCTTCTCGGCTTTCCTCTTATCTCTAAAAGGGGATAAGGGATAACAACGATTTCTGCATCAGAGGGTTGTTGTAGACTGCAACTGGAAGATGCTTCTGAAGGTCCCATCGTCATCATCTAGTAAGGCTAACCAGGATACAAGTGATAAGAGCTAACATTTACTGGGCATTTACTGCCCGCCACAGTTCTAAGTGCTTCACATATATTAACTTACTTAATCCTCCCAACTCTAGGAGGTAGGCATTAATATCCCCGCTTTACAGGTAAGAAACTGAGGCCCCCCGCAGTTAGGTATCTTGCCTAAGATCCCACAACTACTAAATAGCAGAGTTGGTATTGTAGATGCTGAATAAACACAATTCCTTTGGGATCTAAGGATGGAGCAGTGGCTCCTTATTGGCTCCTTTCCGAAAATGGCAGAGGGGCCAAATCATATTGAAATGATCCATCTGCAGTTCTTTGTCTCTCACTTGACTTTTACCCAACTGCTTCACACCAGCCACCATTACTAACAAATTAGCGTACCCACGGAGCCTAGCTCAGCGCCTGGCGCGTGACAGCGGATGCAAAACATGTTGGTTGGATTGAATTGATACAAAATGTATTATACTCTGAACCAGGCTTTGAGGAGCTTTAATTCGTGCTAAAAAAATAATAATAATAATAATTTATCTATTATGTTTTACTTTTCCAAAAAAGATTTATTTATTTAGAGAGCGTGAGAGAGTGTGTGGGGGGGTGGAGGACACGGAGGGGCAGAGGGAGAGAGAGGATCTCAAGCAGACTCCCTGCTGAGTGTGGAGCCAGACACGGGGCTCCATCTCACGACCCTGAGATCATGACCTGAGCCGAATCAAGAGTCAGACGCTTAACCGATGGAGCCACCCAGGCGCCCCAATGTTTTACTTTTCGTAAGAGGATAAATCCATGTTGCTTCTATAATTTAAAATTACTTTTAAATAAATTTAAAATAACTATGCCCACTAGTATGTGTGTAAGATGTTCCTAAGCGAATGAGAGGTTTATTGTTCTGGCTAGAGAGCAGTCTTGCATCCTCTTTTTTTAATGCATACTAGGATTTACTGGAAAGTTTATGAGGGCTTTCCAAATTATCTTACTTATTTAGGGCAGTGTATCTAAACGCAGGTCTCACTCATTAATGCTGCCCCTTTGCCTGCTCTTTGTCAAGCCGAGGGCCCTGTGGTGAGAGCTCAGTATGAGTGCCTTGGCTGTGTGCACCCCATCTCGACTGCGAGCCCTGACCTGGAACCCGTTCTAAGACATGCCATTGAACATTTTAACAACAACACGGATCATTCCCACCTCTTTGCTCTTAGAGAAGTGAGAAGGGCCCACAGACAGGTTTGTTCTTTAATTGTTCATTTTGCACCTGTGGTCGGTATTACGTGATCTTTGCAGAGACCGTGAAATGGAAAAGTTATTCTGTCCTTAAGGCTTTAAGAAAACTGTATCATTACCCACCTATCATGAGTCAAAATGGCTCCAAAGATTAAGTTATACCTAAAAATTCTGGATATCCTCTAAATTCTAGGTTCCATATCATCGGGGGGGGGGGAGTAAAAACTTGTAAATCTGGTCTTTTTTGTTGCCTCAGTTCACTAAGCCTCTACTGACAGTTGACTAGGTCCTTTGTATTTCGGCCTCTAATTATGAAGGACTCACTCTGCTCAGTAACATGCCAGGCTTTTAATAGACCTTCCGATTTGCTTTCACGCGAGACCTGTGTTCTGCTCGATTATGTCCATATCCAGCTGTATCAGGGTGCAACTAGTCCAGGATGAAGCAGGAGAAATCTTCCTGCCTGGCAGTCTGGGAACCTGACGCTCTACCAGTAAAGGCCACGCAAGCTCGAAATTTCACAAATTCAGTGGAAGCTTTTCTTCCTGCTGCCTAGCGAGGAAATACTGCTAGGTCTTACTTAGGGAACTAGAGTAACTCCACATGTATATTGCTTTCTGTTGTTAGATGTGTGGGGGTGCAGGGTGTGGGGGTTGTGTGGACAGAGTGAGAGTCATAAAGTGTTTGCTATTTATTCAGAAATTACTTCTGCCTAGTAATAATCATCGTTCGTATTTTTGAGCACTTACGATATGCCAGGCGACATTCTCTGCGCCTCATAATGCTGTCAATGATGTTTAAACTGCCTTTTAAATATTTGCTCCAAAACTGTTTCAGGTGGTGGCTGGATGGAACTATGAAATTACTTACTCAATTGCGCAAACGAATTGTTCCAAGGAGAATTTTCTGTTCTTAACTCCAGATTGCAAGTCCCTTTTGAATGGTGTAAGTAGGCAAAAATCTAATTACAAAATTCTTGGCACTTTGTGTCCAGTCTTTCCAGGTGAGGGAACGCTCAGCTGTGTAGGAAGTCTCAGTCACTAAGATGTTAGATGACATTCACTGATTCACATTCCCTTGGGAACTCCAAAGCTCACACACTGGTCAAGCAGCCCTTCCCACCTAGTCCAGGAATCTGCACACCCAGCAGAGCACTTACAGATGTAAGCAGGGACTAGGAGAGCCTGAGTCTAAGAGACGCCATGATTAAGTCTGTCTTTTCATGCCTTCACTCTCCTGTCTCCTTTTCTTCCCCATGTGCTCCATACCCTTACTCCCAAGCTCTACCCAGAACAGTCCCTCTCTGCTTGTTTTCTCACCTTTCCTCCCCTGCCTTTATCTCCAATAAACACATCCCGAGTCTCTATCCCTTAGTGACCCTTTTTGGGCTGATATCCCATTGTCTGAACCAAAATTATGTTAAAAGAGAGTATCTCGAGGTGACAGTCATTAGTGCATGTTAAGATGGCCAAGGCATGATGACTTCCCCAGGGATATTGGCATAGTCACAGAAGACTATGCTTTAAGCAAGCCCTTTAACCTGGGAATTCAACTTCTAGAATTCTGTTACATGGGAAGAAAATGAGAAATCCAGACAGAAGTAATTTCAGCATTATTATTAATAGAAAAACATTGGAAGTGACATATCTTCAACAGTAGGGAATGGTTAAGTAAATTACAGTGTATCTGTGGTAGAATATGTGCAGCCATTAAAATTACATTTCTAGGTTTTAGTGACTAGTAAAATGACTATAATATGTTAAGTAAAAAAAGGGAACAAAACTATATATACAGAGTCATTCAAAAATATAAGGTAAATGTAAGTATAAAAAGTGATGAGAAACTAATATGCCAAAACATAAAATTAGTTAACTTTCAGTTGGAAATTTAGGTGCTTTTTCTAATTCTTCATACAATTGGAACTCTTCAGTACTTCTCAAGGTCTCTGATGAAGCATGTGTTTATTTCATAACCAGGGAAAAAATTAAAAGGATGGCATTAAGAGAGTAAAAAGACAACCCACAGAGTGGGACACAACAATCCCTTATTTGATAAGGGTTTAGTATGAAGAATATATTATTAAAACCCCTACATTGCAACAACAAAAAGACAACCCAATTTAAAAATGGGCAAAGGAGGGGCGCCTGGGTGGCTCAGTCGTTAAGCATCTTGCCTTCAGCTCACGTCATGGTCCCGGGGTCCTGGGATCGAGCCCCGCATCGGGCTCCCTGCTCCGCGGGAAGCCTGCTTCTCCCTCTCCCACTCCCCCTGCTTGGGTTCCCTCTCTGGCTGTCTCTCTCTGTCAAATAAATAAATACAATCTTTAAAAAAGAAGAAGAAGAAGAAGAGCAACACCTGTCTCACGGAGGGGTTAGCATCGTTCAAGGACATGAAATAGAAATGAAATGTTTTGCCCACAGCTGCTATAGTCCGAGGCACGCTATCCAAAGTGTATTGCAAAGAGCAGCGGTGTCAGCATCACCAGGGGGGGCTGTTAGAAAAGCAGGAGCTCAACTCCACCCGTACCTACTAAATCAGAATCTGCATATTAACAAGATTCTCCGGTGATTTATTTGCATGCTAAAGTCTGAAAAGCACTGATTTGAGAGGTTTCATAAATAGTTTTCTCGGGCCACGTTGCATATTAGAATCACTCAGCTAGCCTTAAAAAACTGCCTATTCCCAGGCCATCCCCCCAGACGGTCTGATCTATGATGTACACCTGAAACTAATAAGATATTAATTATACTTCAGTTTTTTTCTTTTTTTAAAAGATTTTATTTATTTATTTGACAGAGAGAGAGAGAGAACACAAGTAGGCAGAGCGGCAGACAGAGGGAGAGGGAGAAGCAGACTCCCCGCTGAGCAGGGAGCCTGACGTGGGGTTCGATCCCGGGACCCTGGGATCATGACCTGAGCCAAAGGCAGATGCTTAACTGACTGAGCCACCCAGGCGCCCCAAACTTCAGTTTTTTCAAAAAGCTCTTAAAACTCTTGATATATATAGGTTGTTTGCTGAATACATCAATTTATATTCTATCAGCAATGTATACCCCTGATAGAATTCAGTATTAAAAAAAAAACCTTAGGGGTGCCTGGCTGGCTCAGTTGGCAGAGTATGTGTCTCTTGATCTTAGGGTCATGAGTTCAAGGCCCACCTCAGGGGTAGACTTTACTTTTAAAAAAAAAAAAGTAAAAAAGTCATGAGATTAAAAAAAAAAACTTAGCTAATTTCATAGACAAAAACCTTTTTAGTTTTCATTTTATCAGTCAACAATATAGTTAATATGCATTTATTTAACCACTATATTTTCATATCTTGTTAGAAATTTATGGATTGAATTTATAAATTGTCTTCTATATTCTTTGCCCATTTCTCTTTGGAATAAATCTTAAAAGATTTGGAAAATTATATTTCTATAGTAAAGGTATCAGTGCTTTGTCATATTTTCTCAGGGGTTTCCTTTTTAGTTTTCATTATGGTATTTCGGACTTACGAATAGTTTTTGTTTACAGGTTGCCAAATCTACCAATATTTTCATTTGAGTTTTTCCACCATTTGCTCAGCAATCACTTTATTTTTTTTCTTCTAGTTTGTCTACGGTCAATATTTTATAATGTAACTTTCGATCTTATCTGGAATTAATTTTGATGTATCTTGTGATTTTTTTCCCAATCTTTTAAAGAGAATAACCAGATATCTCAACAGTCTTTCCTTCTACATAAATTCATGACAACCTTCGTTCCATAGTAATCTCTTCCAAAAAGTCTGTTCTCTGTTTTTGTACCAACACCACCATGTTTTAGCAGTCATAGATTCATAGAAAGTTTAAATATGTGATTTATTATCCAGTGTCTATATCTTCAAAACCAAACTTAGAAAAAGTTTGTGAGAAAAACTTGTATTGTCACATAGATTGGGATTCCATTACATGTCTAAAGTAATTTGAGGAGAAGTGGCATACATACTCTTATTTAGTCTTTTTAGTCAAGAATTTGGTATACATCTCTATTTAGACAAGTTTCAGTTTATATTTTGAAAATTGTGGGATTTTCTTTATATATACCCAGAATATTGCTCACTGATGATATTTCTATGTTTTGTTTTGTTTTTTTTGTTGTTGTTTTTGGTTATTGCTATCAGGAATTAAATCCTTTTGTTTTTATTTTCTTTTTAATAAGTTATTAGATACAAATGTATACTTTTTTGTGCATTTTTCTTACATTCAGCAACTTCACTGAATTCTTATTAGCTCTAACAGCTTTTCATTGATTCTTTTGATTGTCCTAGATATACAATAATATCTTATGTAAAAAATACTTTTATTTTCTTTTCTGATGCTCATTTTTTTTGTTCTATGTTTTAATGAATTGACCCAAACAAACAGACATAATTTTTGACATAACAGTGATCATCACACACCATCATGTTTTATTCCTGATTATATTGGGAAAGCCTCTAAGATTTTGTCATTATGCATAATATGTGCTGTGGGTTCCAGGTAAATATTCTTTGTCATGTTAAGGAAGCATCCTTACATTCCTGTCCTTTAAAGAGTTTTATTCTTTTCATTTTGTTCTTAAATAAGGAATTGGTATTGAATTCAGGAAATGGTTTAGAACAGATATTAAAGTATCTATTATGTTTTCCTAATTTAATCTGTTATGTTATTTTGACAGCTTTCCTAAAGTAATCTTTAGGTTCCTAAACTAAACTCTATTTGTTTAGTTTAATTATTCTTTGGATATACATTTGGATTCTATTTCTAGGTTAGGAATTCGACATCTATATTTATAAGTGAAAGGTGTTTAATGGTTTTCTAGGTGTGTGTTTGTATGTGTATTCTATTTTTTCAGGTTTTGGTATCAGGATTATAATTTTATAGAATGAAAATAGTTTGCCACTATTTTATTTATTTATTTTTTTAGCTAATAGATTTTTTAATTTTATTATGTTATGTTAATCACCATACATTACATCATTATTTTTGATGTAGTGTTCCATGATTCATTGTTTGCGTATAACACCCAGTGCTCCATTCAATACGTGCCCTCTTTAATACCCATCACCAGGCTAACCCACCCCCCCCACTATTTTATTTTTTTAAGTTTATTTTTTTTTTAGTAATCTCTACACTCAATGTGGGCTCGAACCCACAACCCTGAGATCAAGAGTTGCATGCTCTACTGACTGAGCCAACCAGGCACCTTTGCCAATATTTTCTATATTCAGAAATATCTTATACAACATGAAATATATATACTTCTTTAATTTTTAAAATTATTCTTCCATAAAATATCTATGTTGTTTGGAGGTGAGAAGTGGAATGAAGTTGAGAGTAGGAATAGCATTTTCTCCTTCTCCAGTCATTGATCCATTCAAGTTTTCTTCTTGTTTTTAAGTCAATTGGTTATTTATAATTTTCCAGAAAATTATCTATTTCTTTGGAATTTAAATTATCATGAACTTGTTCATAATATTCTCTTATATTTTTCTACTTCTTTGTATACTTTGCTATGTTGCCTTTTTTATGCACTTGATTTTTTCCTCACCCCAAGAATGATCTTTTGAATTTATTTTTAACGCTAGTGCTGTTTTCAAACTTCTCAGTTTTGCTTTTACCTTCATTGTTTTCTCCTTCTTATTTTCCTGAAGCCTGTTCATTATTCTTTTCTTTAACTTCTTGAGATAAACACCTAGTCTTAGGGATGTTTTGTTTTGTTTCTTGCCTCTCTCCTTAAATTACAAAAGCATATAAAGCCACGAGTTAACTCTAAATGGTGCTCTGGCAATATGATGTGGAATTCTCATTTTTATTTTGTGTATTTTTTTTCCTTTTCTAAGGAACCCTAACTATTTAGGCAAGTGTGTTTATATTTCCAAGTAGTTAGTTTTTATTTGTTTATTTGTTTAAACATGTAAGTAATGTAATATTAATTTTCAGGGAGGTTTTTTTTTTTTCTTTTTGGTGCTGAGGCCAAAGAACATGGCCTATATTATTTCTGATTTGATAAATTTATTGAGACTTTTTTATGACCTAGTGTGGAAGTGATTAAAAATTTTGCATCATACTTATGAAAGTGTCATTTTAAATCATGTGTGTCATATGAGAATATGATTTAAATAAATATTATGTTATTCAAGTCTCCTATGACCTTATTTATTTTTTAATCCACCTCGTCTGTCTTAGATTTATAGTTGTATGTTAAATTTCCCACCACAATGATTTCTATCCATTTCTATTCCTATATGTTTTCTGCTTTATGTATCTTGATTCTGGGCTTCTAGACTATATCTTTTATATAAATAAAATAATCTTTATTACTACCTTTGTGAGTTTTTTGTTACCTTGAATTTTACTTTTTCCAGTATTAATAATACTTTAGCTCCTTTTTGTCATATTTGCCTCATATAGCTTTGCTCATCCATTATATTTAAACCTTTTTTATTATAATATATTATACTTGAAGATGTAATACATTAATTTTGTTTTTAGCTTAATCTACAAGTCTTTGCCTTGCTAAAAGAAAATTTTATCTGTTCACCTATATGGTTATTATATCTATACTAGGTATTCTCATCATCCTGTTTCATGTTTCTGTGGGTTTGTGCCTATGTGTTTGTTGGAGATGCTGTTAACTAATTGTCTTTTATTCTCTCTTTGCAATCAGACTATGTTTTGTTTTCATTTTCTATGTGATGATTTGTAAAGTCAACATCCTATTTTTAGTTATACTAGTTGTTTACTTTAAAGGTTCTTAAAAATGTTCTTACTTTATGTACCTATATACTTTTTAAAAACCAGGATATCGGTGAATGTACAGATCACGCCCACATGGATCTTCAGCTAAGAATTGCTTCTTTCTCGCAGAAGTGTGAACTCTATCCAGGTATGACATGACCCATGTTGGTCCCTGGCAACGGGCTAGGTCTTTTCACAGGAACTGTGCTTTGGTTTCCACGAAGGGCCACAAAGTCTGTGTGATCAGCAGACCTTCCCGAGATCAACTTACCCTGTCTCTGCCCAGCTGTGCGGTGGCAAGTGCAGCTGAGACTGCTCTGGAAGTAGCCAGAAGGGAATATGGTGACCTCAAGGGGAAGTGGCTGGCCTCTGGGTACAACACCAGCTGGTCTTCCCTGTGTGCAAGATGTCCTTATGTCAGGTGCTGTAAATTGGGAAAGCCGCATCTCATTTTTAACCACTTAGAGTAAAATCCTTTCTTTCTTTTTTTTTTTTTTTAAGATTTTATTTATTTGACAGAGAGACACAGTGAGAGAGGGAACACAAGCAGGGGGAGTGGGAGAGGGAGAAGCAGGCTTCCTGTGGAGCAGGGAGCCCAGTGCGGGGCTCGATCCCAGGACCCTGGGACCGTGACCTGAGCCGAAGGCAGACGCTTAACGACTGAGCCACCCAGGCGCCCCAAGTAAAAAATCCTTTCAATTAAAGATTGGGTGTTTTTTTTTTTTTACCCACATGTTACAATGGGAGGGAAAGGGAAATACTGTAAAATTATGGTCAAGTCCTTATTTCTTATACCAAGAATTGGCTTTTCTCATTCTTGGAAGATAGTTGTATGCACTCCATGATGAGAAGCATTACTGAAGCTGCCTGCTCACCAGAATTATAGGACTTAACATTTTCCCACTAGAGAGTCCTTCCTTTAAGTTAAGCACTGCTTTTTACAGGTGGTTCCATCAAAAATGCAACAGCTTAGGAAAAGTACAGCATATTGATTGAGACACTAATACCTACTGATTGAATGTTTCCCTTAACACACTTGGTTCTGAGAAGAGAAAAAGAGAGAGGCCTTAAGGTGAAGGTCAGATAGACAACGTCTACACACTACTGAGCCTCGGGCTGTCACGTGGCCCTCTGTAAAGGGATGCCAGATCACGTGCACGAGAGCTACTAGGCTAGACTTTTCCTTCCCCTGCACACGCTGACTTAAAACCTGTTTCTTTCAGGGGAGGACTTTGTACAACCACCGTCCAAGACTTGCCCTGGCTGCCCCAGAGATATACCGGTCAACAGCCCAGAGCTGGAGGTGGCTCTGAATCATTCCATCGCAAAGCTTAATGCAGAGAATAATGGAACTTTCCATTTCAAGATTGACAGTGTGAAAAGGGCAACAGTACAGGTCTGTAAATTACACCACAAAAATAATGATATTATAACCTAGGTGTGAATTGCTGACTAATTGTGCCATTGTCCTTGGCTCTGCATTGGGAACCAGCATACCCAGGGAATAGGATTTGGGAGATTTGAATTTCAAGTGCCAACCTCACCGCATTCTTTGTGTGTGATCTTGGAAAAGTCCTTTAGAACACGTTCTCCATTTTCTATTTGTAAAGCATAGGGGCGAGGATCAAATAAGAACATATATGTCAATCGCTTTTCAAACTCCAAAGTGCTCTATAAATACTAGCAACTATTATATAATTAACAAAATTCAGTGCTAGGAAAAGCAAGACTTACTCTCTGCGTTTCTAGACTCATTTTCACTGTAGCATCGCTTAGTGCCTTGGGCTCAGCCCCTTTGGTCTGTCATTGTCCAGATTCTTCACTCTCACCTGCATGTCGTTTCTTGCCTGCGTTGGGTGCCCTTCCCTCCTACAGATGTACCCTCTGGGGATTCATCTCTCTTTCCATGCCCTGTCAGTCGAAGCTAAGGAGTGTTCTATTCTGGGGGTCAGGAGACCCAGCTCTACCACAGCATCACCACTGTCCTGGGTGACCCTGGAGTCACTCAGACTCACTCAGCCCTTGTGGCCCCATCTGAAAAAAATGAGTGGCTGGATTAACAGAGCCCAGATTCCTTCCACTCCAGCAGCCTATAACCAATGTAGTCATGGACAGAGTCCTATGCTAGACCTCCAAACTGGCTTCCCTAAATACAAGCTAAAGAAAAGTAATCAAAATAGAACCGAACTGGTACGGCATACCAACATGATCTTTATAATCTGGTGGAAGAAATAGCACTAAAAAAATTCATACTTTTGGCTCAGTAGTGAGTCAGGTTTCTAATTTCTAGAAATATAAACTAGAAGGAGTCTTTATATACAGTGATATTCACTGTAGCTTTAACTATAACCCCCCCCCAAAAAGGTAAACTGTCAAAATGATCAATAAGCTAGAAGTGATTTGATATATCTGGCATATCCATACAATGGAGTATTAAGCAGCAATTTTTTTTTAAAGATTTTATTTATTTATTTGAGAGAGAGCACATGAGAGGGGGGAGGGTCAGAGGGAGAAGCAGACTCCCTGCCGAGCAGGGAGCCCGATGCGGAACTCGATCCCGGGACTCCAGGATCATGACCTGAGCCGAAGGCAGTCGCTTAACCAACTGAGCCACCCAGGCGCCCAAGCAGCAATTTGAAAGCATCTTTGTGAGGCATTCTTGGTGCGGGCAATGACTCGTGCTAAAATATGAAGGGAAAAACAAGAGGCCGTAAAACCGAACATACATTCTGTCCTCACTTGTGTTATTAAAAAGTACAGAAGACATACTAAAAAGAAAGAAATGCCTCAGACTATTCACAGGGGTGGTTTTTAGGTGACAGCGCAATAGGCTATTTATGCTCATCTTTCCAATTTCCTGTCCTAGTTTTATGACTGGAAGAAAACCTCTAAACAAACAGTATTAAAGTAAATCAAACCTGACCCTCTGTCTCCTACTCAGGTGCTTGTTCCTGTCCCCGAGGCCGGCCTCCTCTCCCTGGTCTCTCGGGCAGGGGACCGGCATGGGGCTCCCTCCCGGAAGATGCTAATCCATGCTACTCCTGTCCGTCAACTCTTCTTGGCCCCCACCTCTCTGCTTTCTTCCCACCGTCCCTTGTTCTGAACGATGCAGGAGTTGTGCAGCGCCCTGCCATTTATTACAGGTCCGACATTTGCTGTCAGGAGGAGAACCACGCGTTCCCATGCATGAATATTTAGTCTTCTTGGTAGTTCCAGTTCTCTCTGTAAATTAGTGAATCAACTCTCTAGAGTGTATGCGTGTTTGTTTATGCAAAGGAGGCCAGGGAACCACAGGAGGTAACGCTGTGAATGGAAGGCAACTTCCATTGCCAAATCAATCTGGAATATTGTGAAGATTTCAAACTTACTTTTAAGAGATAGATCTTTACTGATGCTTATGTTTAAAGAGAGAGCCGTTTGACTGATCCGACATAGATATTCAAGGCAGCCTTGGTGGAAGTGGTCCCTTTACCAAAACTCAATTTATCATGAGATGAATTTGCTAAGAGCCAAGCTCCAAATGACCAATCTGCCAAATTGCTAAAGATTTCTTTTACAGTTTTAGTCTTGCCTTGGCTTTGCGTGTTTAGTCCTGTGTGGATGCATATCTATTCCTATTTCAGAAACCGCGAACTTCTTAAATCCTCCATTTTTCGCACGTGAATGGTTGCTGTTTGCGTCACATGCCCCTTATTTGGCCCCACCCCTGCTGCTTCTGTCCCCCCTTCTATCAGCGTTCCTCCCCGCCTCTGCTCAGATGAATATACTTCAAGGATCTGTGTGTGCGCATCGAGGAGCTTCTCCTTTGACAAAATCTTGGAGATGTCAAGGAATATGTATATGTCTAAGACTTAATGCAAATGGCCAAATTACAAAATTATTTGCAATTATGCCAATTTACATTCACACCAACTGGGTATAAGACACTGATTGATGATCTCGTATTATATTCCTACCAGCAGTGATCGAGGCTGCATGTTCCCCACACCTGGCCAACAGCAGGCCTCATCACTGGCTTCCGTCTTGGCCAACATGAAAGATTAAAAATGATGTTGCATTGCTTTTTTAATGTGCATATCCTTGGTTATTAATGAAGTAGACTTTTTTTCCCCAGGATAAATGATCATTTTAACTTCTTTCCTGAAATACCTGTTCATGTCCTTTGCACATTTGTTTTGGCATTAGACTTTTTATTGATCCTATGTCATATTTTTTCCCAATTGCCTTGCTACTTCACTTACTGTGATTTTGACAGTAAGTTCTCATTTTTGTCTAGTCAAATTTAGACATTTTCCCCTTCCTTTAGGTTTCCTTCCTCTGCTCTTCCCCTAAGAAAGGCCTTCCTCATCCTCAGGTCTGATGAATATTTACATCTGTCTAGCTCATTAATTTTAATTTTTAAATGCCATTAGAACTTATATTGCTATATAGTGTTCTCCATTTTAAAAACAAAACTTGGACAGGGTGGATTTCAGCAGGGAAGACTTCTGATAAGAATGACACTTGATGATGATGGTGATATATGGATGTGACCTTGAGGCCCTCAAACAGAAGATGGTATTAGGTCTCCTTCATTTCTCTCCTCTGGACCCTGAAGAGAGCTGTCAGTTAGCATTATATGTTGTCAACTCTCTTAGGCAACATCACATTGATCAACTCTAAGGCCAAAAAATTGGATTGAAGTATACCCTGAAATGAGCAAGAAAATTTTTGATCACTGAAGTATAGATGCTAAAACCCTCTTAGAAACTTCCTCTCTACTTACACATACACTTGGAGTTTTAAAAGTTAATTATTATATTTCTCTTAAGATTTTAACCATGCTTACCCAGCAAGACAATGCCAAGAAAGAAGGAAGAGGAGCTTAGTTCTTCCTACAACTCTGCTTTCCTCATCTGCCTCTCATCAGGCTTTCCCCATGTTTTTACAAAGTATAAAGAGATAGGGAAGACTGTTAAGGTTTGCTTTTATAAAAATGGGATTGTACTATCACCCTATAACTTCATTTTTTCAATAATGGTCATCCTTCTAGGTCAACAGATATGTATGATGTATTCTCTTGACAGCTACATAATCTCTCTCTCCCACTCTCTCTTCCTCTCTCCCTCTCTCTCTCTCTCTCTCTCACACACACACACACACACACACACACACAGTCGGCTTAGACTACCATAGCAAAATATCAAAGATTGAGTGATTTAAACAACAGGAGTTTTTTTCTCACAGTGCCTAAGGCTTAGAAGTCTAAAAGCCAACCAATTAGGTTCCCTGGTGAGGGCTCTCTTCCTGGCTTGCAAGTGGCCACCTTCTTGCTGTGTCTTCAACTTCAGAGAGAGCGAGCTCTCTTATAAGACCCTTCTAAAGACACTTCTTATAAGGATGCTAAGCCCATTATGAGGGCCCTATCCACATGACCTCATCTAAATCTAACTGCCTCCCAAAGGCTCCACCTTCCAATACCATTGCATTGGAGGTTAGGGCTTCAATATATGAGTTTGGTGGGGGACATAGTCAGTCCATGACACACACACACACACACACACACTTAAATCCTAGAATTAAATACCAAATAACTTGGTCTAGAAACCACATCAACTTTTTAATACATAATTTAAAAACATTTTTATCAAGTGTATTTTTCAGGGTATAAGAATTATAAGATATGGCATTTTTAAATGACTTAAAAAGCCATCCCTGGGATTTTGTTGAAGTCAGAGTAGTTTAAAAACATGAGCTTAATTTCTTAAATGAATAAATGAGGTGTGTTTCTTCTAGACTAAAAAAAAAAATTGGGCCACAAATTGCTTAATGGAAGACAGCATTGTGTAATGATTAAGGTTGTTGCTAGAGATTAAAGCATATTCTTAATATAAAAAAGAAGTAGAAGCAGGCTCGAAAATCCAAATAATTTTTCTAATCATATAATTTCTATAGTGGTACCAACTCAGTATTTCTCGACCTAAGATTTGGCAGGATGATAAGGCATTTCAAAAAAAATATTTAACTTTTTCTTCCTACTTTTCTTAGATTCTATTACAACTTGAGCCCTTGAATTATTCGTGACTTTTGCAGCTGTTAAACAATAAAACTCAGGAAAATATAAAAATAGAAATTATAGCTTGCTTCCACCCCCATTTTGAAAAGGAAATGAGGCCAGTCATTAGCCAAATATTTTTCACACGCACACAGATTGAAAATTTTGTTGTCAAACATTTGTACTTTTCTGTGTAACTCTCATTTGTTCAGTATATAATTAAAATGTCAATATTCTACCCAAAAACTTCTTAGAGTGAAAACATATGATTTATTATACAATATTAATTAAGCTCCTACTTTGTGCTAATTAATTATCCAGGTGGTGGCTGGAGAGAAATTTTCTATTGTGTTCATAGCCAGGGAAACCATGTGTTCCAAGGAAAGTAACGAAGAGTTGGCAGAAAGTTGCCAGATCAATAAATACGGAGTGAGTAGTAACGCAACTGTGTACTTGCTCCCTGGAAACCTTTTTGATATTTTATACTTGTTTAAGCATCACATGAACACTGTTCTTTCTTTTGGCTTCTGTCTTCATGGATAGCAAATCCTAGAATGTAAAGCCGAAGTTTTTGTGATACGTTGGGAGAAAAAAATTTACCCTACTGTCAACTGTCAGCCACTGAAAAAGGTATGATTTGCAGTCAGCTCGGGTCAACTTTGCTCATTCTGAAAAGTCATATTTGAGGGTTGAAAGTGAACCGTTATTTAAATGAATTGGGAGACTATCTTCTTAAAATGGGGAAGAACGCTCACATTTCTGTGCTGACCTCTTTATGGCTAGACATGAGAGTAGCAGTCCTTGTAATTACTTACCATGCCTTGTCAGCGTCCCATTGGCAGGGGGCCCTCGCTTGGTGAAGTGCAGGCCCTGCTGTGGAGGGCCCATGCTAGCCATGCACCTGCAAGGTGTGCCTGAGGCGAGGCCCTGCTCTCCCATGCCCACTGCTTACAGCCAAGGAGCTCGGGAGGAATGCAGATCTCAGCCCCCACTCCACATCAGTTGACTCAAAATCTGCATTTTTAACATGATCCCCGGGGCTGGGGGGTGGGGGGTGGGGAGGAGGTCATAACATGTTCAAGTTCAGGAAGCATTAGTTTGCATCATTTTTTTTTTTTTAATTTTTAAAAGATCCCTGGGAAGTAAGTAAGACTTTCCCCATTGTCAAGGATGACATCCTAAAAATTACAAAGATGCTGAGGTCCTAGGGTGAATAATAACATTACCAAGTGTACTCTCTGTCCCAGGCACTGTACTGAGAGCTTCACACATATTTCCCTCCTGACACCTCTATGAGGCAGGTGCTGTTATTATCCTATTTACAGATGAGAAAAGTGAAGCCAGTGATGCTCGGATTCAAATCTAGATCAAATCAGAGCCCACCCTATTCACTATGATGCTGATTCCTAGTAGGGTCTGACTTGTTTGACTCTCCAAACCATGTTCTTTGTACCACCAAACACTGCCTCTGACCATCACATTCTCACAGGTAGTGGAAGTGTAGGTGGAAATAACCCACAAGACCGTATCTTCAGTACAATTTGCCTCTTCTTACTTTCTCCTGATTTACATTTTTGCCATGTGTCGGTATGTACAGAGTCTAACAGAAACATGATACAAAGACTGCGTTTCAAGCTGGTGACAATTCCTAATGTGTTTCCATCCAACAAAGTAGCTGTGGCTATATGCTCCCTAGATATTCAGCTCATAAAGCCACTTAGCGCCTTTTAGGATAAAAAGAGTAATTGTGCTAATAGAAACAGTATCAATGAATAAATAATATGTCATGGCTTTACATAACCATGGGCTTAGAAGTACCCTAGAGATTATGTGGTACCACCACCCAACTTTTCCCAGTGAAGGAAAAACTCTCCAGCTTAGAGTATTAAGAACAATAATCAATAACCACAAACTATAAAATCAACCAAAGAGGAAAAAATATTCATTATCATCCTCTCTGGAATATTAATATAGTATTTAAAGTCTGATAGATTTGCCCCATTGTAAACAAAGATAGCATTGCCAGGACTCAGTCCCTTCTTTCTTCATTGGTAGCATGGTTTTCATAGTAACGCATTCATCTTAATATTTCCTGTTTAGATCATGTTGATGAAAAGGCCTCCAGGTTTTTCACCTTTCCGATCAGTACCCTTGGAGAAAACAGAAGAAGGAACAACTGTAAGTCCACCCCACACTTCCATGGCACCTGTACAAGATGAAGAGCGGGATTCAGGAAAAGAACATGGACACACTCATGGGCATGGCTGGGGCCATTACAAGCAAATAAAACATGGCTTTGGCCATGGCCATAAACATGAGCATGACCAAGGCCATGGGTACCACAGGGGACGTGGCCTTGGCCATAGACATCAAAAGCAACATGGCCTTGGTCATGAACATCCACAGGAACTTAACTATGATCTTGAACACCGAGGGAGACATGGCCTTGGCCATGGACATCAAAGGGAACATGGCCTAGCCCATGGACATATACATGAACATGGCCAAGGCCATGGAAAGTATAAAAATAAAAGAAAAAACGATGGAAAGCACAATGGTTGGAAAACAGAGCATTTGGCAAGTTCTTCTGAAGCTAGTACTACGTCTTCTGCACAGACACAAGAGAAGACAGAAGGGCCAACACCCCTCCCTTCCCTAGCCCAGCCTGATACAGCGACTGCTGTGCCTGACTTTCAGGACTCAGATCTCATTGCAGCCGTGCTGCCTAAGCCACCAGCTCCCACAGAGAGTGATGATGATTGGATCCCTGACATCCAGATAGAGCCAAATAGCCTTTCATTTAACCTGATATCTGACTTTCCAGAAAAAACCTCCCCCAGATGTCCTGGGCGCCCCTGGAAGCCAGTTAATGGAATGAATCCAGCTGTGGAAGTGAAAGAATTTCATGATTTCGATCTCACTGATGCTTTCTTTTAATTTATGCCGCCATGAGTCTTTAACACTTCATCATTCTTCTCCCCATTGTCTAAATATCCTGATATAACACAACAAAAGCCCTGAAGCTTCAGAACAGCTTAGAGAGAAGGGGTGAGACTCCCAATGGGGACACCGTCAATCTCTATGGACGACGTAAAACTGTGTGCAGAATCCTAAATTCCCTCTGGGTCTTCCTCACAAGTTTTCTTATCTAACACAGAAAATGGACAAACTCATGTGCCTTATGGCCTATTGCAATTTGCTTTTCTGACAACAAATGTGTACCTTAAAATGTATGTCATGGACTTTCATACAATTATTGACATTCTGAATGAACTTTGGCATGTGGTCCCTGAACATGTGAAAATAAGGGAAGTCAAGAGACTGAATGCTGAATTTCTTAATGGGAAAAGAAATAATAAAACCTCTAGAGGTTAAAGAGGGATAGCAGGAAAGAAAGACAGATTGGCCCAAGAGAGGACAGGGGGAAGTAAATTAATTGACTTTCAGTTTCCAGAATGACTAGTATATCAAATAGTTACTCCCACTTGACAAAGTTGTCCTGATAATTCTCTTTCTAGGTGAGAGGGTTTCTTGTAAGTCAGTCATTTCCGTTTACTCATTAAGTACCTTTTGCAACAAGGCTTTCAAATGGGAGTTTTCCGTTTGTTCATTTGTTGCCCACTCTATATTGAGTAATCCTGAGCTTTCAGCAACTCTGAGTTTAATGATAAGGACGGAAAGCAGAGGAAGTAGTATAGAGGCAGTTTTGCCAAGGAAAACGTTTTTTAAATAATTGACAAGGGAATATCATGGGATGTGATGCAAATTTCATTCAGAAATTTTATGAGGAAATTCCTTTCTAACCTCACTTTATGATCATATCATCTTTTTGCTATGACATTGAAGAGCACTGGTTTTTGCAAAAGAGAATAATATGATTGTCTTTAATTGCCTTATGACATGAGGGAGGTGTGTATTTTATAACCCTTGCTGCGCTTTTGCCTAGGGAAACAAGATAGGGCTTTAAACAGCTACACTTACCTGTGGATGAATGTGTCACTGCTACTTCAGTTTATGGGATGCATTTGAACCTCTGAGTTTTTATTTCATTTCCAAAATTTTCTGTACTTTTAAATAAAGAACCAATTATGTCAGGAAAAAGTCTCATCTTGTCAAATGGTTGCTTCACTCTTCTTTTATTGAATGATAACAACAGATTAACAGAGTTTTACTATACTTACAGAGGCACCTAACGCCCTGCGAGTACAAGGGCCGACCTCAGGAGGCAGGGGCAGAGCCAGCATCTGAGAGCGAGCTCTCTTGACCAGTGGGCAGAATCTCTATGCCTGCCACAATAACCCCGACAACATCTATCACCAGCCCTGCTTGGAAGGACAAGAAGAAGGGATAAAAGTTAAAGAGAAGAATGCCATTCTACTATTCTGTTGCTGGGTGAAATAAAGTTCAGTCTTGATGCTCTCATTCCTGGTGAATTCATGGTGGTCTTCTTTTGGCCACACCCATCCTACAGCAAAGTCCAGTAGATCAGAGAGCCAGTGCTTTGGCTCTGTCATGGAAACTCATAGCCCAGCTCTAGAGTGCTCTTGCTAACCAAGGCAGGAGTTAGGTTCCTTACCACCAAGACTTCATCATGGGTGTTAGATTAACGGTTAGTGGGTCATGTTTCTACCAGCAATCTAGGGACTCTCTACCTTCCCTTCTCCCTTCTCCTGATTCCCAGCCTAAACTGAAGACTAATTTGTCTTATTCTTGTTTTTTATGATCCAGATAATTACCAAAAAGAAAAAAAATCTTGTGTTAATGGGATGTCTACCAACTTCTCATTATTAGAAAACATCTAACCACAAAACAAGTTTTAAAAAAATTTTTAAATTAACTTTCTGATCTGGGTAAAGGAGATAATAGAAATCCATGGAGCACTGGGTGTTGTATGAAGACGATGCATCGTGGATCACTGCATCAAAAACTGGTGATGTATGGTATGGTGACTAACATAACATAATAAAATAAAATTAAAAAAAAAGAAATCCAGGAGAAGAGAAAGTGATAGGGATTTTAAATTTTCTGTAGTAAAACACATGAATTAAATGCCTGTGATAGCCATTTACTGTGCTAAACAATTTCCTTTTGGTGTGTAACTTAATTCTCACAATCACTCAGAGGTCCGCATGATCACCTTTCTTTTATAATGAGGAAACTGTAGCTCTCAGCGCCCTGCCCAGGGTCACACGGTTAATATGTGACAGAACTGCATTCAAACCTTTTGAACTGCACTATGCCATTTTATAATGCGGCTTTGTTATCAATGTTGTCATTACAAAAAAAACATCAAGATAATTTCTGATTCCAAGATGATCATTATCTCGAGCCAAAAACCCTTATTAAATAGCTCATTGAGGCTGGCGCTGTCCTGGCACTACTCAGGGTAATAGAGTCAGGTGCAGGATTGGCTCTTCCATTTGCTTAGCGCGAGGTCCTGGAAAGGAGAAATTTTAAAAGCCATAAATCCTTTCCCTCAAAGAACTTGCAATCACTTTGGGCAGTCAAGACTAAAGCACATAGAACAGACATTTAATCCAAGCCACAGTCACTTGGGGAGCAGTGAGTGAGCCTGACTAATGTGATAGGAAGATGTGAAGAGGTGGAGGGACCAAAGTGGAGAAAGAAAATGAAGACCACTTGGGAATTCAGATCGGAGTAAGCCATGGAGTGCCTTTTACATTTCTTGAGCTAAGATGTGCTGAAAGAGTGTTTAAGACCCATTATTCAAAAGATTCTGGGGAGCACGGGTCAGAGTGAGACCGAGTGGACTCAAGGCAGTACCCCTGGTTTCTCTGGTCTGTCACACCCTAATGCAAGAATGACCACTCAGGGCTGGCATGCAAAGCCTACAGTTCTCACTTTACTCAACAACATGAAGTATTTCCACTTCAGACCTTTTTAAGATAAAATAATCATGAGTTTCCTGTGACCCAGCACCCACCTTTTACTCTTTTTAAAATATCTGCACCCACCCCACCTCCCCCCTGAGCCAAAGGCACACCCATATTTTTCACTTTGGCTCTAGAACCATACACTTCATCCCTTCATGCTTCTCTTCAGCATGGGAATTTCCTCTTGCCCAGTCCAACCGACATTCCTCATGCTGTCTACGCCTGGCAGCTCAAGCAGGATGCCCTTCTTGGCTTTTTACCCCATCTTCCATTTCCTGCCTCTAAGCCTGGTTCCAAGAGACTTGAGGCTTGCTGGTCTCATCCCAGTAGGTCCTGCACCAAGCTCAAGCTCTTCTGCAGCTGCTCTGTTCACCGGCCTTGTGGGAGAAGCCAGACCTCCCCAAGGCCCCTGTGACAAAATGCAGACATGATACCAGCCCACTCTTTGAGGCGTCCCAGTGTTTTGCCCTATAAAAGTCCATCAGAAAGCAAAATATCCTCTCAATACCTTGCACAAATGCTTTTGTGAAATTATTTTCCTTCATCCTTTATTTTACAAGAACCTCCATTTGAACACCATTCTGTCTTTTGGACAACTTTAACTGGAGATATTGCCCAGTGCATTCACATCAGAGACAGTGCAGGAAGTGGTCAAGAATCGGATTCTACAGTTAGTCCAAAAGCTGCAATTTATTTAATTCCTCAAACCCCAGTTTCCTCATCTGAAATACTAGGTTGATAATATATTCACATCATAGATGTGTTGTGAGACTTAAAACAGCTAATTCCTTCAAATGGCATAATGCTTAGCACTTGGCAAACAGTCAACAATGGGTAGCTATCAGGGGCTATCAGGGGCTGGCTCAGTCCATGGAACCTGCGACTCTTGATCTCAGGGTCACGAGTTCGAGCCCCATATTGGGTGTAGAGATTGCTATAAAAAATAAAAGGTAGCTATTATTGCATTATTAGGAAATACACAATATATTATTTTTAGAGTCTAACTCTGGGGAAAAAACGTTTTGTCAGATAATGAGAGGTGTTGAACACAGCATATGTCCCTTTTTGTCTTTGCAGCCATATTCAGGATTCAAAGGTTGTAATCAGCTCATAGCAAGTGGCTGGTAATATCTACTCCTGCATGTCCAATCCCACAGGTTCTGAACCTTGGCTGCACCTTAGAATCACCTAGGGAGCTCTAGACAATATGAATCTGAATCTCCCGAGTATGACTATTTTTTGTAAGTTCTCCATTGTTTGTAATGCATCCAACAGTGAGAACAATTGATTTAGGCCCTCTCTGTTCTCTTTAATCTTAATTATCCAGGTTTACGTTGTTCCACTTTATTAACTCCTTTAAATCTTTTTGAAAACAAGAGGGTCATGAAACTCACGAGGGATAGATAGATGGTCAGACAGATGACTGTAAGTATTACATGCTCTAGCATTGTCACAATAAGAACGGAGAGCACAAGATGGGTATAAACGGCATTTCAGAGACTTATAAACAAATTACTACATTTGAAGAATGAAGGACAGGAATAAACCAAAAATGACGGAAAGTTTTCCAGTCTAGTGTGCCTAAGGGGATGGACTGACACAAGCAAGGAAACAGGGAGCTGGTCTGTGCTTTCCAGTGACTCACAAAGAAACAGACTGACCCAAAAGGCACATCATTTCAGATATTTCAGTAGCTGGGTGAACATGTGAAATCAATGTACAAGTGGAGTATAGACCCCTCCTCTGTCTCACCTCATTATTTCATTTACTCTGCTACCTGTGACCCCTGCCATATACACAGGGGAGCAATCATTAGCTACTCCTGGACTAAACTTGTGGAAACTGTAATCACAGGAAGTGATTAGAAAGAACAGGAAGAACAGAAAGGGAAGAAATTATTCTCTGAAAGTAATCTTAACTTTCATTTCTACTAGTGAGCCAGAAGTCCGAATCTAGCAAAAGACCTTTGTTACAGCAGCTTTCCTATCTTTTGTCTTCTTTATCTGGCATGTGGAGATGATATCATATTGAGTGGGTGGAAATCACACTATTTTATCATGACTGTTAATAATAATGAAATAAGGGCAGCTGGGTGGCTCAGTTGGTTAAACATCTGACTCTTGGTTTTGGCTCAGGTCATGATGTCAGGGTCCTGGGATCAAGCCCCGCATCGGGCTCTGTGCTCAGCAGGGAGTCTGCTTGAGGATTCTCTCTCTCCCTCTGCCCCTCCCCCTGCTCTCTCTCTGTCTCTCTAAAATAAATTATTTTTTTAAAAAAATAGATGAAATAAGGACACATCATGATGAGCACTGAGTAATATAGAGAATTG